GGACAGGAGGTAAGGACAGCAAAAAAGTCTGACCAGGATGAAGGGGAGAGTCTGAGGCCTAAGGATAAGGGACGCCCCAGGGCAGGGCAGGAGTGGCTGGCACAGAGGTTTGGGGTGGAGCAGGAACAAGTCAAAGTCAGTCTGGGCTGGTAGACCTCAGAGACCAGTCAGCCCAAGGCTGTCATTGTACAGACAGGCAGAAGAAGGCTTAGCAAGGGGTGGGGACAGGCCAGGTATCATGGTGAGGCAGCCTGGCCATCTGCTCCTGGCTTAGGTCTGTCCCCTGGGCCACACTGGCTGAGAGTAGTCAGCTTGGTATGACTCTGAGATTGAGCTTCCTGGCCATGCCCAGGTGTTGTGGGTTTGTCTGGTCCAGAGGGGTGGCACTGGGGCAGACAGATGAGAGCCCAAACTCTCATCAAGCAGCACCTGTAAACCCACTGTCATTCCATTTCAGCACTTGCTGTTAAGTACTCAGCCTGAGGACCCAGGCTGGCTGCGATTGGAGGAGGAAGCCATAAACTCCGACCTGGGGAGCTCACAGCCCAGCACAGAGCTGGGCTCTTGGTAGAGACCGCAATGCATGTCTGAGGACAGATGGGTGAGGGTGTAGGGGAGTAAGGGATATGGGGTGGGGGTGGGGAGCCTGTGGCATCATGTAATGTGTTCCACACAAAGTGAAATGTAATAGGGGAAATTTCCCTCAACAAATGCTTATTCAGCACCTATTCAGTGCCAAGCTCTGTTCTAGGATCTTGAGACAGTGAACAGAATTTATGTTTTAACTGGAGACCGACAACAAACAAACTAATACATAGTATAATGTCAAGGAAGGAAAGGAGAGATGAAGAAACACAGAACAGGATAGTGGTGGGCAGTTTCAACAGGGAGCATGGAATGGTTATTTATTTATTTATTTATTTATTTATTTATTTATTTATTTATATCCTCACCGGAGGACATTTTTTCATTTTTTGTTCAGATAGAGTGGGAGGGAGAGAGAGAGAGAGAGAGAGAAACATCGATGTGAAAGGTACACATCAAGTGGCTGCCACCCACACGACCCAACCAGGGCCAGGGACAAACTGTAACCGAGATATATGTCTTTAGCAGGAACCGAACCTGGGTCTCTCTGGACCACAGGCTGACACTCTAACCGCTGAGCCAAATTGGCCAGGGCTGGAATGGTTATTTGATAGAAAAAACCCTCCTTGTGGTCCTGAGGGTCTGGCCAAGTCCCTGCCCTGACTCCCTGCTTCAGCCTCCCATTGGGAGTTGAGCTGAGTCATCTCTGAGGGTCTCATCTCTGAAGAGCCTGAAGGAATGGCCAGGCAATGAACCACCTGCAAGACCAGCCTCTCCCACGAGGTCCAGCCCTACCCACCCGCTCCTGTCCATGAGACCCCCTCCACCCAGGACGACTCAGCTCCTCCTGGCACAGAGCCCAGCAGGAGCTGAGGAGCCTGGGCCTGGGCTCTACCCTAGATCTAGCCTGGCAGATAGAGATGATTCACTAGGGGTGTCAGGATCCAGGAAAATGCCCCAGGTGGGGGTGTGTCAGAGCGGAAACACGGAGACTCACTGCCTTGCTTCCTCTGGGAGGCCGTGGCCTTGCCTAAGGATCCTTCTGCTCTCCAGGAGGCCTGAGTTGCAGCCAAGGATTTGCAAGAGGCCCCAGAGCTTGCCAGTACCTGTCCCCTCTGGGCCTCAGTCTCCTAGTCCACACATGGGGAAGTGATGGGACTAAATAATCTTTCATGTTTCTTCCAGCGCTGAATTCCTATTCTGCTGAGTCTGTTGCAGGAGGCCCAGGACCTGTCTAACGGTTCCCTGGAGGCTCAAGGCAGAGGTGAGCGACAGATTCTGAAATGGGGGGTGAGGTGAGAAAAGGATTGCCAGGTTCAGCAAATAAAAATGTGAATTGCAAATACTTTTCTAGTATAAGCATGTCTCAAATATTACTTATAGTAAAGAATTACTCATTGTTTATCAGAAATTCAAATTGAACCGGTGACTTGTGTTTTATCTGGCAATTCCAGGTCGGGAAGGTGACTGGAGATGGAACTTCAACAGAGGAAGGTCCTAGACTCTCAGATGGCCAGAGTTCTGACCTCCTATCTTGCTGCTCTTCGGGTTCCTTATCCATGGACTTCTCGATACCTTGTTGAAAGGCAGGGGCATGAGGGAGGGAGAACCAGGAGCTGGGGAAACCAAGAGCTGTGTAAAGAGGCAGCACCTGAACTCCTCCTGCCCTGAATCAGCTAACCTCACCACTGCTCCTCCCAATAAGACAGACAGGTCTCCCCACCATCTCCTGCACAGCCCAGACTCATTCCTACCTCCATACTCTCATTCTATTCCTGCCCCCTTCCCTACTACACAAATTCTACCCACTGCAGGGACCCTCTGTTGGCTACTCTTTAGCATCAGGATGGCCTCTTCTGAGTTCCTGAGTGCTGTCAGACTCACTGTCTGCCACTGACCCAGAGCCATTCAATCAGCTGAGCACCCTCCATGTGGCAGGTGCTGGACATACAACAGTGATCAGGACAGACAGCTCCTCCCTCCATGGAGCTCACAGGCTAGTGGGGAGATGGATACATAAGCAATCACAAAACAGGGAGATAATTGCTCTTCCACAAGGACTGAGGCGGCATCATACAGGTGGGTCCCATGTTCTGTTTTATTCAGTAGACTTCGATCAATATTAGTGGAAGAAATGAAAGTGCTGAGGGAGAAAAGAGGAAGGAGGGCCTCCCAGGAGACCTTCCCCGTAGAAGTTGGAAGAAGGAACTTCCAGATGGAGGGAGGAGCACAGGCGAAGGCCTGGCGTGTGCAGAGAACAGCAGGGAGGGGGTGTGGCTGGCATGGAAGAGGATAGTGCAGACCAGGCGAAGAGGTCACCATGCAAAGGACCAGAACTGGGCAGCTCTGTCAGGTGCTGTGGACCCATGACCTGAGGAGGCTTCCTATCATGGTATGTTACTACTCAGAGAATGGCCTGTCCTGGGAGATTCTACACTTCTGGAGAGCAGGGGCTGGGTCTTCCTCTTCTCTTGTGCCCTCTAGGACTAGGCTGAGAACGCGCAGGGGACGATTGATAGAGAGCTGCAGGATGGATGGGCTCTTTGAGGCTGGCGGAGAGAACCAGTTACACCACACTGTTCTCTCCTCTTGGGTATAGGATACTGCTTGGGCAATTTTAGTAGATGATCATAGTCACTCAACAATATTAAGAAAGATGAGTGACTTTCTGCCCTATGTGGAGGCCCCTGTGGCATTTAGCATGTTACCTAGATTCCTTCATAGCCATGGCCTGGGATGGTGCAGTGACAGTGACAAGCAATGTCTATCTACCCATCACTGAACCGCTACTGAATGAGCCAGGCCCCCTACGGACATATTCTCCAGCACCAGATTTAAAAAGAAGAAACTGAGCCCAGCCGGTGTGGCTTAGTGGTTGAGCATCAACCCATGCACCAGGAGGTCTCTGGTTTGATTCCTGGTCAGGGCACATGCCCAGGTTGTGGGGCAAATCCCCAGTGGGGGGGCGTGCAGGAGGCGGCCAATTGATGTTCTCTCTCATTGATGTTTCTCTCTCTCTCTCTCTCTCTCTCCCTTCCTCGCTCTAAAATCAATAAAGAAAAAAAATTTTTTTTTAAAGAAGAAGAAACTGAGGCTTCAGGAGTTCAGGTGATTTGCCCAGGGAATTTAGGTACTAGGTGTTTAAGCTAAGCCAGGCTTTAACCCAGCTTTGCCCAGCGCTGAGGCTCCAGATCAGCTACACTTAGCTGCCCTGAGTTTTTAAGGTAATCTTTGAGATGATGCTTATTTTTGGCACTGAGAAAGTTATTCCAGTTTTATGCCATCTTGATCTTTGTTACTTATGTTGTAGATGCCATCAAAGCTGTTGTTTATCTGTGAACCTCTGCAGTGGCCTTTGCCCAGAAGCGTTCTCTAAAAAAGGAAGGAAGCAGGAAGGCAGGGATGAGGTGGCTCCTCCTGGGGGTCATTGGCACTTTCTCTGGGTGCCCCACCCTTTCCCCAGCCCGCAGCCCTGCCCTGCCTGAGTCATGCAGCAATCCCTGCACTCTTGGGACAGCTAGGCCCTGTGCAGCCCCGACTCACACCATCCTCCCACACGTCACCCAGGAAGTACCTCACTCCCTCGAGGTATCCAATGGCCACAGTCCCGGCCTACTGTTAGGCAAGCTTCTTCCTGGGTGTGCAGTGTGTCATGTCTCTCCTTCTAGACTGTGAAGGCCTTGTGGACAGTGTGAATTCCAAGAAGGAATATATCTACAAAGCAAGACTCCCCATGGTAAACTATGCTGAAATTCATAACCAGAGCCTAGCAGACGTTGCTGACAAAGGCGTCTCAAACACTCCACATTTCAGGGAATAGCTATAGACCAAGCTTTCAACTTCCTACGCTGGACTTTTGCTGAGTCAACCCTCATAAGGGAGTTCTACTATAATATTGATCAATGGACTGAGAGACCTGACTGATCCAATTGGAACTGTGTAGCTATAGCTTCATTTGCATCTATACAGACCAATCAGAACTGCTTCATAATAATCCATCAAAATGCACAACTCTGACTAATCAGGACTGTGCAATTTGGACTAATCAGCTGTGCACATTTAGATCCCTCATTTGCATAAAAACTGGACCAGTCAGAAACCAGAGCAGGAAACTTCTCTATAAAAAGCAAACTTTTAGGCTGCTTTTCCCATCTGCAAACTGTTCACCTGAATAAAGTTTCTCCTTTTTCCACATCTCACATTGGGAATTTCTATTGACAACAGGGACTTTGCATTCTCTCCTTTGTGGGCTCAATAAGCACCTACTGACAGTCTTTGCAGAGAGTTGCCGCCGTTTCCTGCTTCGGCAGTGCTTGGATGGAACCTAGCCTGCTGCTCAGAGCCAGCCCTCCACCACCTCCTCACAGGGCCACCCCGAGGCCCCCACCACTGTCACCTCTCCTCAGCCACGCACCATGATAACTGAGACCCCCTCACAACTGTGCAAGAACTACCCCCAGAACTCGGAGGTCATCACTAACCGCCAGATCAACCTGGAACTCTGCGCCTCTTCTGTCTCCCTGTCCATGTCTTACTACCTTGACTGTGATGAGGTGGTTTTGAAGCACTTCGCCCAGTATTTTCTTCACCAATCTCATGAGGAGAGGGAACGTGCTGAGAAACCAGTGAAGCTGCAGAACCAACAAGGTGACCAAATCTTCCTTCGGGATGTCGAGAAACCTGTCCGTGATGGCAGGGAGAATGGGCTGAAGGCAATGGAGTGTGCATTACACTTGGGAAAAGTGTGACTCATTCTCTATCGGAATCGCACAAACTTGCCACTGACAAAAACAACCCCCATTCGTGTGACTTCACCGAGACTCATTACCTGAATGAGGGGAGATCCATCAAGGAATTGTGTGACCAGGTAACCAACTTATGCAAGATGGAGGCCCCTGAAACTTGCCTGGAGAGCACACCCTGGGAGACAGTGATGGAGCTAAGCCTTGGGCTGGCTTCCCATAGCCCTGGGGGTGACTTCCCTGCTCGCCAAGGCAGTGCATGCAAGTTGGGGTTACCTTTACCTTCTACTTATGTTCTTTCATTTATATCACTCCTTCAAATAAAGTAATTTGGTAACCCCCCCCTCCCAAGCACCTATTTGAGCCAAGCACACTGCTGGGTGCCAGGGTACAATTGGGGCTTATATACCTGAGACTTCTGACTGTCTCGCTACCCAGACTGTCCTTGGGTATACCACCCAGGCCTCCTCATGGTCCATCAACTTAAGGGGTAATGTCTGGCACATCACAGACACTCCAGAACCTCAGGCCACATCTTGGACCTCCTGGACCTCCCAGGCCTCTCTAGGTGTGGGCCTGGTGCAGGGCTAGTCCTCACAGGGGTGGACGTGGGTAGTTTTGTAAGGTGACATCGGTGAATGTAAGGTAATGTTGGGTGTAGACATGCACGAGAACTTGAGAGCCACTCTGCAAGTTTCCTCTCCGATAATCCTCAGAGTCAAGTTTGGCCACAAATAGATCTCTTTAATTTTCTTCCATGGGCTCCAGGATCTTGACAGTCCTCTCCCTCTATTCTGGCTTCTGTATCATAATGGACTTGTGGTCTTAGTGACAAGTGCCACTTTCCTGGAGCCTGTGGACTTCTTATCAGCGTCATCCAAGAACCTCGACAGAAGCCTGGGACCTTCTACCAGGTACTGTGCTAAGCACATTACATGAATGATCTCATCTCATCTCAGCCTCCAACAATCCTATAAAATAGACATTATTATTGTCCTTATTTTACAGTTGTCAAAACTGAGGGTCATAGGGTTTAAGTAAATTAATAAGTGATGGAATCAGAATTTGAATCTAGGGTTGTCTATTCCAAACCATTCCTCTTAATTTCTACACTTCCCTGCCCTGAATTTGTATTTGAGAAAGGCCTCAGTCATCAGCATCCGTGATATTCTCCTGTACCAAATAGAGATATGTTTGCTCATTAGAGAAGGAAATGGCCCCTGGTTAGTGGGTGGGAGCATCTGTGGATATTATGTTGGATTAAAATATTTCCTGTGAGAGGACAGTGAGGTGTCTCATCTAAAGTTCTTCCTGGTATAAGTCCCCTGGGGAAGACGTGTGTTCTAGGGCCTGGAAAACAGAACTACTGTGGGGTCCTAAACTATGGAGGAGAGACACTGACTCTCAGCCTGGACTTTTAAAAATATTGGTGTCTACAGGGGTGCCCCCAAGTCAAGAAGAGGCAGGTCAGGAACTTGGAAAGCAGGGTTGCAATCTGGCAAGGCTTTATTTAGCTTCCCCCCAAAATAAGTGTTACCTGATATACCAGTAGGTCACACTCCGCTCTGTTCATTTTCCTGTGTCATCTCTGTCTGAACAGCCTCGTTACAGCACTTGTAAGGAAGGATCTAAAAGGATGCCCTTTTTAGATAATTTTTTTTTCTCCCATTTTTTTGTTCAGGTAGAGTGGGAGGGAGAGAGGGGAACAGAGAGAGAGAGAGAAACATCGATGTGAAAGGAACACATCGAGTGGCTGCCACCCGCACGACCGACCAGGGCCGGGGACAAACTGCAACCGAGGTATGCGCCCTTAGCGGGAACCGAACCCGGGTCTCTCAGGACCACAGGCCGACGCTCTAACCGCTGAGCCAAACCGGCCAGGGCTAGATAATATTTTTAAATAAGCTTTAAAATTTAACTTTTTAAAAGAATAGTTTTTTATATACAGAGAAAAAAAGTTGCAAGGATAAGTACAGAGGATTCTTGTACACCTCCACCCAGTTTCCTCTATTGTAACATCTTTTATTTGTCACAGCTAATGAACTTGAATTTCTTTTTTTATCCTCACCCGAGGACATTTTTTCCATTTTTTTGTTCAGGTAGAGTGGGAGGGAGAGAGAGAGGGAGAGAGAGAGAGAGAGAGAGAAATCGATGTGAAAGGGACACATCGAGTGGCTGCCACCCACACGACCAACCAGGGCCGGGGACAAACTGCAACCAAGGTACATGCCCTTAGCGGGAACCGAACCCGGGTTTCTCGGGACTGCAGGTCGATGCTCTAACTGCTGAGCCAAACCGGCCAGGGCTGAACTTGAATTTCTTTAGCTTCTACTTAATGTCCCTTTTCTGTCCCATGATACCACATCACATGAATCAACAGGCCTCTCTAGCCCCTTTCTGGTCTGGGACAGTTGCTCAAACTTTCCTTGCTATTGATGACCTTGGCATTTTTGAGGAGTATTGGTCAGATATTTTGTAGACCATATCTCAATTTGGATTTTCTGATGTTTTCCTCGTGATTAGATGGGATTCACGAGTTCTCGGGAGTGAGATCACACAGGTAAAGTGCCATTCTTATCACATCAGATCAAGGGTATATAAGATCAACATGACTTGCCATTGCTAAGGTTAACCTTGATCACATGGCTACAGTCATGTTTGTAAACTTTATCCACTGCAAAGTTACTAAGAGGTTGCACTGTGTGCCGTAGCAACCCAAATCACGACGGTGGGAGGGGCAGCAGCTCTGGATGTCTGCATGGAGTTCATAACAGTGACCAGTAAGAAGAACCCACACTGTTCAAAGTGAAGCTCAGAGGGTAGCTCCATCTCAGCTTCAAAGGTTTGGGGCTCTACCAGCTTTAGGAAGCAGGTCTCATTTATTTCAGTGTCCCCAATACCCGCGCAAGGCTGGTTTTTGAATGTATTGCACTTTTTATTTTGCAGATGCAGTTTTTTTCAGTTGAGGTGAAATTCACTGAACATAAAATTAGCCATCTTAAAGTGCACAATTCAGAGGCATTTATATATTCACAGCATTGTTCAACCACCCCTTCTATCTAGTTTCAGAATGTTTTCATGACCCCAAAAGAAAACCTCATACCTGTTAAGCAGTCACTCATGGTTCCCCTCTCCCTCAGCCCCTGTACCTATTCTGGATATTTTGTATAAATGGAATCATATAATATGTGACCTTTTGTGTCTGGCTTCTTTTACATAGAATTATTATTTTTTTATTTTTATTTTTTATCCTCACCCAAGGACATTTTTCCATTTTTTGTTCAGATAGAGCAAGAGGGAGAGAGAGGAAGAGAGAGAGAGAGAGAAACATCAATGTGAAGGGACACATCGAGTGGCTGCCACCCACACGTCCAACCAGGGCCGGGGACAAACTGCAACCGAGGCACGCGGCCTTAGCAGGAATCGAACCCGGGTCTCTCTAGACCGCAGGCCGACGCTCCAACTGCTGAGCCAAACTGGCCAGGGCTAGAATGATGTTTTCAAGGTTCATCTTTGTTATAGCATGTGTCAAAACTTTATTCCTTTTTATGGCATACACACACATACATACATACATACATACATATATAAATACACACACACACACCACACTTTAACCATTCATCCATTGATGGACATTTGGGTAGTTTCCACCTTAGCGCTGTTGTGACTGGTGTTGCTACAAACATTCACATCTATGTATTTGTTTTAGTACCTGTTTTCAGATCTTTTGTGGGTATACTTATGCATGATTGGATGTTTTAAGAAGGTGATTTCCTCACAGGTTTTCCAGGAAGCTGACTAATCTTATGCAGGAGTTCTGGATAAGGGGATTTCTCTTTTGGGCCCAGTTCAGGTTATCATCTTATCAATAGGTTGTATAAAGACATGACACACATATATCAAATTCACTCATGACAAGAAGCCAAGAGGGAGAGCTAAAAATCATAATGCAAATATACAAAGAGAACAAAGTATCAAGTCTTGCCTTAGATTTCTTCAAATGATTGTTCAAGCACAGCCTGTGGGAGAACTGGTTTACCAACAATTATACAAAAAGAATCTCAGAGTTTGAGCTGACCACAAGCTCTACATGAACCAAGGCAATGAATGGCTACCAAATAAGCAAATGCAAATATAGGTTGCATTAGATTCCAGAGCAGGGAAGGCGATTGCTCTACGCTGTTCCACACTCTGCCAGGCCCACCTGGAGCTCTGAGGACTCTCTGACATTGACAGGCTGGGGTATACTCTGGATCAGGAGAAAGTGACTGCACTGCAGAGGCCTGGAAACCAGGTCATGTGACAAGTGGGCAGAGGACTCAAGTGTAGGCAGGATGGTTGAAGCGGGGTCTGTGTTGCTCAGAGTTGGCAGGACTGGTCCCGGGGAAGAAGGCTTTTTTTCAGGGTGTGATCTCCTTCCTTGTAGGTGTGGGTGTATGGAATGAGCAGGGGAAAATTCAGAAGGACGTTGGGTGAGCCCAGGTGATTCCGGGGGTCAGGTGACTGCCTTGGGGTTTTTCAATATTGAGAAACATTTAGTCTGAGGTAGAGAGGAACAGAGAGAATGAAACTAGTGGTGTTGCTTCGTTTCCTCCTCCTTTCCCTTCTGCACCTCTTCACCTAGTCCTCTCCTCCTCTTCTTCTTTCTGTCTCTTCCTCCAGACTGGCACCCAACACCATTCTATCTTGGGAAGAGGCAGCAAATCTCAACACAGGTTAAGAATTTTTATTAAAATAGTGGGCTAAAATAAACAGAATAGGATTTAACTGGCTAGGTTGTAAAAACCCAAGAAAATGCTTATGCTGTTATGGTCAATGAAAAAAGCAGAGTATGCAATTATATATCTATATACAGTAAAATGTATAGAAAATGTGAGTATAAAACACACCGAAATCTTGCCCTGGCCGGTTTGGCTCAGCGGTTAGAGCATCGGCCTTCGGTCCGGAGAGACCCGGGTTCGGTTCCCGCTAAGGGCGCGTACCTCGGTTGCAGTTTGTCCCCG